GGACACAGCCAGGACAGCTGACCTCAACTGACTAAAGGGATATTCCATACCATATGACATCATCCTCAGCATAAAAAGCTGGGGGAAGAAGAAGGAAGGGGGGGGATGTTCAGAGTGATGGCGTTTGTCTTCCCAAGTAACTGTTATGCATGATTGAGCCCTGCTTTCCTGGAGATGGCTGAACACCTGCCTGCCCATGGGAAGTGGTGAATTAATTCCTTGTTTTGCTTTGCTCGTGCTCGTGGCTTTTGCTTTACCTATTAAACTCTCAACCCATGAGTTTTCCACTTTTCCGATTCTCTGCCCCATTCCACCAGGGGGGAAGTGAGCGAGCGGCTGAGTGGTGCTTAGTTGCCAACGGGGGTTAAACCACAACATTACCACAAATTGAAAAGCCTGTACAAATAAATAGCTGACACAGCAACTCCAAATATCAAGTTATACTATTGTTTAGTGGAATGCTTTGCTCCATTGTGTCAGATTATAGTAATTAAAGAAAAAGTCACAGACCTCATGGGATTTCTACATGATCAATTAAGTGTGCCTTTCATGGGAAGAATGTTCTCCAAGTTTGAAACATTTTAGGTGAGATGGGAAGTCGCACACTGAGAAAGATGCTGTTTCACATCACTGATACAGTGTAGTGCTAAGTAGAAATCTGAAGCAAAGCTCTGCTTTCCCCTCTAGCTATAGGTACAGCTTTTATTCCTAGGCTGAGTAAACAAACCAAGAAAGTGAGCAATGAAGAACAATTGGACTTTCAGCTTAAAATAAGCTTTGCTAAATTAATAAATAATTTCAATTTTAGCACCTCCATTTACCCTCATCTCCCACATCAGAAACACTAGAGTAAGAATTATGATCACCAGTGACCCAAGGTGATGTGATAGCACTGCTGCGGCTTACCCACTGCTATCAACTTTGAGACTTCATTTCTGTAAGTGAACAGTTACTACTGCCTATGTTCCCCTCTGTGCAGCCCCTGGGAGTTTCAAGGGCTTGTATGTACAGAAATCATAGAAATCATAGAATGGTTTGGATTGGAAGGGACCTTAAAGATCATCTAGTTCCAACCCCCCTGCTGCGGGCAGGGACACCCTCCACTAGACCATGTTGCCCAAAGCCTCATCCAACATGGTCTTAAACACCTCCAGGGATGGGGCACCCACAACCTCTCTGGGCAACCTGTTCCAGTGCCTCATAAGTTAGGGATTGTATGTTCCTACATAAGTACATTATGTATATTATGTACCTACATAAGTTAGGGATGCTCCATGTTTCCTACCTCTCAGTGCAAAATCCCACTCCTCTTCTATGCCATTTACCCAGGATAATCCAGGCTACATCTCTGCTCACTTGAAATCAGCTGCAAAGCCCTCTGTGGACAACAGTGATTACCCTAAAATGGTGCACATGGAATTGAAGAAGCAAGGTGTACCTGAGCCAGGGCACAGGAACTGAGTGTAAGTCTTGATAGAGACAACTAGCTCCAAAATAATTCCATACACAACATTGACAGCACAAAGTACAGTAATGAAAAGCCAGCAAGGGTCCAGTTAAGCATAACACCACCTGGAAGGGCCAGATTCTCCTATAAAGCTGTGTTTAGTGCACAGGGAACGTTTTGCTCCTGAGCATCTCTGAGGTGATTCCTGCAACACCTGGATCTCTCTGCCGATCGTTCCTCAGTTTGCCGGCTAAGGGAGAACAGAAGGAAAGGTAACCTTGTACGTTGCCAGAGTTGTGAATGATCTTTTATGATAGTCCCAAACATAACCATGGCTGGAATTAACTCAGAGGTTAAAAGAATGATTCATGGATCTAGAAGGATGAGCTGGAGACAGCATGGGACTTGTAGCTTAAATCTCAAGTGATTGGTATGAGCTGTTTCCAACTACTTTGCAGCTAAAATAAATTTCTAGCAGCCATGTAGATATTACAAATCACACAATAAAAACTTGAACAATTCAGGCACGTGGAAAAACTCATTCACAATGAACAGAGCAATCTTAGCTTTGCCCTCCCGTATGTCATATAACTGTGCATGCAACAGACACACTCCTACAATGTCATAATTTTAGATTTCATTGTGGCGTAAGCGGGGGACTGAAAAGAGTTAAGTACTACTGAGTCCCAGCTTCAAATTTTTTTTTACTATTCCTTAACATACACTTCAATTCTTTGTGGGCTCTACATGTGTATCAAGAGACCACAGCTGCTCTCCAAACAGTAGAATAAATAAGCATAAGAAGGGAAGAAAGAGAAAATGCAAAACTGCAGTCCATCCATGAGCTCAAGCACAGGCTAGTATGGTTACAATTAAATGGCTTCACAGCTCACAAGTTCACAGACGTTTATAGGGTTTTTATGGGATATTCTGCTTGGTGTTTGCTAACCTGGGAAACCTGCAGCCTGCTCCATCATGTAATGTGGACATGGCTTGAGTGAACAAAATGTAGAACTGTTTCCACCTCCCTGATGAAGATGTGAAACAGAAACTCAATAATCCACCTGGGGAAACACAGGAACTCCAAGTCAGAGCTGGGAATTCAAGGTCCCCTAAGCCCCAGTCCAGGGCCTGAATCACTTGAGTGGCTTTTTTTTTCTTCTCATTACTAGGTGAAAACAGTCAACGTGGTGTGGTACATCAAAATAGTGCTGCTGAAGGAACACTGATTTCCAACAAGGTTTGCTACAGTCACAGTGCCAAAAGAAGGGTAAGTATTCATGGCACGGATCTGTTACCTAGAACATTTACTTTTGAATCCATTAATTAATCCTGCACACCCTACAGTTTTGTTTCTAAAAATTATTTCCCCCCTGCTATCAGGAATCTAAACATGACCCAATTAGCACACACTCTTTCCTTTGGTTCAAGTAGGTGGGATCGCTATTTATTTTTAAACTGAAATACTGTGACAGATCCCTACTTACAGTCCTGGACACCTGACAGTAAGGCTTCATTTTATAGCCTTAGAGCTGAGTGGATGTGAAAAATGAAATATTAAGCAAACTGACTACCAGTTTGCCTAAATTTTTAAGGTACAAGACATTTCACAATAGGGAATCCCCACTGTCAGTGACACTGCAAAGTAAGACAGAAGAAAAGCTATGTGGCTAGAGAAGAACAAGGTAGCGTACAATGCAGCAAGGCGAAGCAGAGTGAAGTGGGAGTGACAGGCACTACAGCACAGGCACAGTGAGACAGAAAGTCTCTGAATCAAACATCATGTCTCTAATCAGAACATTCAGACAAGAAAGAAGAACCTAGCTCTGGCTCATTCCATAGCCAAAGCAATTGCATGCAACACTGCAAGTGAGTAGAAAAGTTGAAGTTTGGTGTTTTGGGGTCCTCATATCTGTTTTAGTCCATCGGTGTTTCAGAGCAATTTTGACTACTGTAAAACCAAAGTCGGGCTGGTGAAAGCAAAGCTCATTCCAGGTTCAGAACCCCATTTGTTTTGAATCACAAATTGATGCACTTGCTTTGTGCTGTGTATTTTCTCTTCTCTCTCCTTAACAACTGCTCTTGACGCTGTCAAGGAGGGACCCACCAACGCCTCCCAGGTGCACACAAAGCATGGCAGAAATCTAGGTGGGCATCCAAATCTTCCAAGGGTGCCTCTCCTTTCAAATACACACCTGTAGGATACTAAATAGCAAGGCAGGCCCTGAGGCTGGGAAAACATAGCTGAGCCATGCTCTCACCCAGATACCTCTCATAAATACATTCCTACTCTTGCATTCATCCTGCATCTCAGAAATCAAACTCTCTTTTGGAAAACATTTCAGTGCTCTGAGTTGTCCTGTCCAGAAAAAGTCTCTCTTCTTTATATTCCTAAGTCATTGGGAATTTAACACCACTCCTTGTATGGTGTGCAAAACAGCTGGCTTTAAAACAAAGCCCTGGACACAGTTACCTGGTCCTTGGGCTTCTCCACTGCCAGGATAGGTGGAAGGGTGGGTTTCCATGAGGAACCTGCCTGAAAAAGCAAAACCAAGGTTGTTTTGCAGCTTGCCAGGTTCCAGCAATAGCAGAGGACATGTACACGAGCACTTGTTGCATACTCCCAAAGCTCCTGTCATCACCATCTCCCTTTGCTGACCTCTGCCAGGGCATCCTGGCAGAACAACCTGTAAGCTCCAGGCAAGCACAGCCAAATGTATTTGAAGATGCAGAGCCTATTTTCATGTATTATAAGAAATCACTTGTCTGCAGCTGCTTCCTTCATGTTATATTTTCATTTCAGCTGGTGTCATTTGCATTTCATAGCTTCATAGTTGAATAAATTTAGTTAAAAATTTATTAACAGGCTTCGCTTCTATTTCTAGTTACCCTCCAGAAACATGTCAGGGAGCTGGAGCCAAAAAAGCCCCCACATGGTTCTCAAAGCCAGATCTAATTTATAAGGTTGATTCCATCTCTACAGGAAATCAAAACCAGGCACTCAGTAACTCTCGATGTAGAGCCAGGTTTTGAACACCCAGATCCAGAGTCTTTAGATCCAGTTTACCTCTCCATAACAGGCTGGATGGAAACATTGTGTTTAGGAAATGATGGTTAGTTTGCTTTCCTCTCCAATTCTCAGAGCTCCCTCCCAGGATCTCGACACACAGTTTTGGATGCTATGCACTAAACTAAAATATTACAGTTTTCTCTTCCAAAACAATTAAGGTTTGTGATTGCCCTGCTCATCAGGAACAGCAGGAGACACCTCGGCTGACAAAATCAACCTTTCAACAGTAATTATTCATATTTAATTACACTGCCAAATGAGGCTCAAATAAACAGGGTTCTTCTGCAGTAGGTGCTATCAAGTCAGAGGAAAGTGTGGGCTTGTCATCCCAACCATGCAAAACCAATCATTTTCTTTCTCTCAAAACATGCACACAGAGCTTCTGCAGGACGAGAGGGAGAAGCTTTCTCAAAAAAAAAAAAAGACAAAAAAAAAGACAGTGAGAATAATTAATAACAGCCTGAGAAGAAATGAAAGTAAGACTGGGGATGGATCCCTATCCCACAGTACCTTATTAATGGAGTTTGGAGTCTGTGGTATCTCATCCTTCAGCACTGACGGGCTGTTTCCTTCCACGTCTTTTCCTGCAACGAATAAATGTGATTTAGAAACAGAGAAATTCTGTGCACAACCGTGGCTACTCATGGCCTTAGAAGGGCTACTGCTAACAGCAAACAAGAGAAGCTCTCATGAGCAGGCACACCAGGATCACAGAGAGGCATCTTGCAGAGCTTGAAATAGCCTGGCTCCACATGCTTGGGCTATGCAACAAGTACTGCTTAAAAGTTAGGTCTGAAAACACTGTGGTAAACCAACATGATGGTTGCAAAGTCCAGCATATGAAGGCTGGAAAAAAACAGAAATAAGGTTGCTTATGCATCCTTAATCAGCTCCCTGCATCATGATGCAGTCTTTAATTACATTACCACAGTCTGTTCTTTTCTTACATATCCTGTGCCTCATTCAATGCAAATAATAAACGGAATTCAGTTAATAGGCAGCTATTCAATACATTATCCTCCTTGGTCAGTATCTGGCAGCTATACACAGATGCATTTGATAGCACACTTTGTTTGACAAATGATAACCATGATCATTAAACATCACAGAAGACAGAACAGCATCTAGACATAATTAGTAAAACAAAATTAAAAAAAAAACACCTGCAGAAGATCAGTGTCTTCTGACCAAGTTATTTGTTAAAAATAAGAAACATTTTCAATTAACAAGTAGTATTTATGAACACTATGACATTTTCCAATCATTGTAGAGAGATATTTCCACTACCAAAATATACTAAACTTGCAGTATATTATACACATCATATACTAGTATGAGTGCATGTAGTCCTAGTCCAAGCAATAAAATGCAATGATAAATTCTGTTCTTTTTGCCAACTGTAATCATGTCCTTACAGTAAAAGAAAGCATGGAGCCTCTATTAATAAAAAGCCAAAAAATAGCATTTGATGAGACTGGCTTTTTAGTGCCTGGACAGTCATTGTTATCCAATTGCAATCTAGTTTTCTTCTCAGAATTGTTAGCAATCAGAGCTCCAGAATACTGGACACAACAAAGAACCACTGAGACAGTGAAATATAATCCATTTGTAGCACACTGCAAACATGGGAATTGTTAAAAAGGGTTTTAAACATTGTATGGGCCAGTCTTGGAAACACTACCAAATCCAAAACCAGCAAGGGAAAATCCTGATTCTCCTGAAGCCAGTCAGTTGTCACAGACATGTCAGAAGCCATAATGTCTCCTGGAGTTTTCAGAGCGGGCATTTAAGAAGCCAAGCACCATCAGAAAAGTTGGCCACAGCAGCTTACTAAAAATATTTTCATGGCCGTGTTCTGCACCTCCATCATGGGACATGTGAGAGAACAAGCACGTCCCATTATAACTGGAACTGCAACTGTGCTACAGGATTTCACTGGTAAAGAGACAGGACAAAAAATATGCCCTTTTTTACTGGCATTAACAGGCAGTTTGGTGTATCAACTCTTAAATTTAAGAAAAGATTTTGTGGGACAACTGTCTCTAGAAGTTGTTCAGCTTTCCACATGGTGACCAAGGGTGATAGAGGTTTCAGACGTGTTTCTCACCCTATGGCACAGTGCTGTGCTGTGCCACACGCACACAGCCACACTGACACAGCAAGCAAACACTTCCAAGCCTGGGAGAAGAGGGACAGCACGTGCATTGCTCACGTGGAGAACTGAAGCAGAAGAAGGACCTATGCAGTCACATAGGAAGGCGGTGCAACAACAGGGAACCTAGTTTCTTAACTGTCACTCCTCCCCTTGAAACACCGAGCCCTAGATAACGCACTCAGAAACCTAATGTCTGCAGGCAAGAGAAAATCCCAGGCGGCCGGATACTTGCCAGTCACCTTGTGCTGCCATGACAAGCAGGATGGCTATAAGCACTGCTGTGCATGGATAAGGACCTGTATCTCCGTACTTTTTCTTTCTCTGACAGCACTTTCCTCTCTACAGCCTCCACTCTCCCTGACAGAGGCAGAGGAGGTTGGAATAAACTCAAAAAGCCATGTAACTGCTGCACTTGTTTCCCATGAAGAGTTTTTTCTGGGCATGTATGGGAAAGTAACATATGGTCTAAAAGTTCAAGTGAAGTTAATGGGAATCAGCTGCTGCCTGCTCCAAGGGAATGGTGTCTATTAGCATAACAGAATTCACATCCATTCTTTATTATGCCTCATTTCTTAAAGAAAGCTTAACTCCAAGCTAGTATCCATACAAAAAGCCTGGACGTGAGAGATTTCTGCCTTCTCTCAGTAATACAGTTAAAAGGGTTTGCACCTGAACAATGAGATTTTCAGTGCTCCTGAGGTTCTGGACCATCCTACTCACAGGGTATTATGAAAAATGGGAACATGCAACTGTTCACTCTTACGGTGTCATTTACAAGGATTCATAAGATATGTTTATGGAGCAGCATATACTGGTTTCTTATGCCAAACACGTTAAGCCTATTGGAACTTGTGAGGGAAAGGCTGTTTTTCGGAGGAGAGCTATCTTTGCTGTCTGTCTCAAGCAGACTTGCTGCAGCCATGCGGAGGGTGAGAGCTAGCCCTTGTTTGGAAAGCAAACTTCATTGAAACCACGTGCAAGTTTTTCAAACACCCACACGCATAGTTAAGTATATACAAAGCGCAAAAGCAAGAGTCCCACCCAGAGCACAACAGACATAGCCTTGAGAAAATAAATAGGAAACCACATAAAAACATAAAAGGAGCTAAATATTAACTGGCTAGAAAAGCTGAAGTTCTTATCTCCCTGATCAAGAAAACATAATGCCCACAACAGAAACAGAGCTGCATCTCTCCTGAATTAAAGTGCTGGCTGCTAGCAGGGCACACAAAGAAGAGTCCTCCACAAAGTACCAAAATAGTCCTCCACTATTGCACCAAATAGTGAAAAATATTTCGTGAAGGTAATCAATAGTGCTTACAGAAACAGCCTTCACCACATCATGAAGAAAACTGCCAACACTCCAGCCTTGCAGTTACAGACCTGAATTACTGATACCTTCCTTTATCCCATTAATGCCATGCATAGGAAAAATATTTAGTTCCTTTCCAGAACAGTAACTATTCCTTTTCTTTGGTTTTGTGCTGGGCATTTGCCTTTCTCCTTTATAAAGAATGATACAGCAAGCACAACTGATTAATGGTAACAGGAAGAAAAATAACTGGGTTATTGAGGAATTAATGATTAGCTCCACTCAGCATGAATTATTATTTTATAGGCTCTCTGATAAAGTGTCTGGATAACTACAAGTGGAAATACAGGCTCTGATGTGTGGCAAAACTACTGCAAATAAAACCCATTACTGCTGTAATCATCAGCCACATGGCCCGATGTGTACACCAGACTTAAATTTAGCTCCACGTATCTATCACAGTAAAATTCCTATATTCATCAAAGTGCATCTCTGAGGATGCAGATAGGCTAACCTAAATTTTTATTTAAAGCCAATGTGTGATCTCACAGCGTAGTCAAAAAGAGATTCTCTATAAGTTCTTTTAGCTACTCTCCCAATAAATTTCCTACCCTCTGAAAGACAAAAGAGAAAGATTCTCTCCTCTTATTGCTACATGAAAGAAAGGCATGGGCATGGAACATGAATTCATGTCTCTCTAGCTTGTGAACTTTCCACAAAGAGAAAATGTCTTCCTCAAATTTATTTTAGTTCCATAACCATTAGCATTTTTATATGCAAGCAAGAGGCAAAAAGTCCAAAGTGTTATTTCAGATAGTGCCCTCTGCATTTCCCATATGTTTCCTTTAAAAAA